GAGCCCCCCGCGCCCTCCCCGCAGGACTGCGCAGCCAGGCGGGTTATCAGCCCGCGGCCGCGGAGGGGAGCGCCGCGCTCCCTCCTCCAGATTAGGAGCCTTTGACCGATGGGGATGGGGGAAGATAAAGTCAACTTCCTCGGTTGGTCGTCTCCATGTGAGCAAATCATCCTGTTGAGCTAATTCCCCCTCGGCTTGCCCCGAGCCCCGTCTTTAGATGCTTTGTGTGGCCAGGAATAACAGAGGGAATGGGATGGGTGTGTGGAGAGAGGAAAAAGGAAGGGAGAAGAGGCTGAAGGGAAAATAGGGAGAAGGGAGAAAGAAAAAGGACAAGCTGGGAAAGAAAAAGGACATAGGGGGAAAGAAAAAGGGGAAAGAAAAGGGACAATGGGGGGAAAGGAGAAGTGTTGAGAAAAAGGACAAGGGAGAAGGGGTGAAAGGAGAAGGGGTGAAAGGAGAAGGGGTGAAAGCCGAGACCCTTGAGAAGAGCAGCGGGAGGAGGGAAGGAGCGGGACGCGGTAAGCCGGGGCGGGGGCCAGCGCAGCCCCTCACCTTGTGGTTTTGGTAGGAGGTGACGGCGATGAAGGCAGTCTCCGGGAAGACGTGGGTGCAGAAGGCGGTGTTCTTGGAGCCGAAACCGTTGTTCTCGTCCGCTTTCACGATGTGGAGCCGGGGCTGGTACTTATGCATGGAGTTCAGGATGATCTGGGCAAGGGGAAAAGGAGAGGACATCCCGTGGGAATGGAGGGGACACAGTGCGGCGCACTCCACCGCTGCCCGGGGAGGGGAGAAGAGGAAGAGGAGAACGACAAGCAGGAACTCGCATCCCCTTCCCAAAAATCTTTGCCCTCTTCAGGTCTTCTCTAGAAGGGCTGATTTAGGTGCAGTGGCAGAGGGGACACATACCTCTCCAGAAATCCCCCTACCTAAGGAGCCCATCAGGGTCACGGGATGCTATGAAAGGAAGGCTTCTTACCCGCTCCCCCCAGCCCGGCCCTGGGGTGCTCTGCTGTTGCTCCCCACACCTCCGGGGACAGGGCAGGAGGGCGAAGCTGCTCCCACAACACATG